ATCATGACATTGCCGGTCGGCACAAATAGACGAGAGACGGACGATCGCGGATAGTCTGACGGAACGAAGAAATGGGTTTGCCGCATGAATACTTCGTTTCATCCGAATCATTTCAAAACACCGGAAGGTCTTCGAGTTCCTTATGTATTTAAAGCGAGCGTATCTCTTTCTCCCCTCCGTCCCCTCACCGCTCGCTCTGTCTGCTCGCCAGTGAAAATTATAAAAAAAAAAAAAATGACGGACACAGAAATACAGAAATGACGGACACGCAACGACAGCATAACATTCTCCCGCGAGACGTACTGCAAAGTAATACACATATCCTCAAGTATATCTCCAGTTCGTCGCTCTCTCCAAATATGGTCCAAACTGTGCATTAACATTATTTCCGGGCAGCAAGCGCGCGGGGCGAATCGTGTAGTTTCGCCATTCGCGCTGCATTTGCCTTCAGGTTAAAGTAACCTGTTCCCGCCCGGTGCGTAAATGTATCCGTAATTTCACATCGTAACGCAATCGTTCCGCGCTCCCCTAAAGATAAAGAGGCTACGTCGTCGTAGTTTCCTCCCCTCGCGAAACTTGGATCGAATAACTAGCCAGAGCCGGGCGACGAAGATCGACCGGCGCGGACGCTTTAAATATTTGCTCGTCACTGAAATGCGAGCCACTCCCCCGGCGCTGGCGAGTGACTCGTGGAAAAAAATCGCCAGTCAAATCGACAAGCCCTATCACGGTGGATATCACGGTGAGTCGAGTGAAAGGGCGGTCGGCCGGTCAGGCGATCTGCCGAAGCGCCCCAATCGTCGGACAAATGACAAATCCGGCACGATGTCGAGAGGAGCGCGCGATAAAACCCGACTGTTTTCCGGGACAAATTGCGCTTTTGCGCCATCCGAGACGTTCTTTTTCCATCCTCTTGTCGACGCGACCAGAGGCAAGAACAAGAGGGCGAAGAAAGAGCGACGGCGGCTGCGAGAGCAGCAGCGGCAGGGAAAGAGAGAGAGAGAGAGAGAGAGAGAGAGAGAAAGGGTAGAAGAAAGGCGGGCGGAAAAGGTGTTAAAAACTACGACCGGGGCCGTTACGCTTCTTCCCTTTGACCTTCGAAGCAAAACAAGAAGGCGAACGCGCTTTCCTTCCACTTAGGCTCCGACTGAAAGAAGATTGTCCTTTTGTCTCGCTAATCTAAGCAAAGTAGTCGCTGCGAAAGGCGCCCCCCGACCGACTCGCTGCGCGAATCAATACGCGCGGACGTGGTGGTTTATGCAATCGCGGCCGAGGAGCGACGTGCTATCGACAAGAATTCGCAGACGTTGCTTCTTCTTCCCCTTCCCTTCCCTTCCCTTCCCGGAGATAAGTGCATAAAATGTCGCAAAGTTAATCTCTCGGGCACCCCGGCACGACTGGAGGTCGTGGCTCGATTTTGGATTTATGCGAGATACACTCGTCGAGTCGTTCGAACTGACGAACGCGAACTGATTACTCGACTCACACGACACGCGAAACTCTCCGCGTATAAAAGCGCAGACGCACGTCGGCGTTCTCAATTCGCGAGGACCGATATCTTTCGGCTCGAAGTGACCTTTAATCGACTGAAATTTTAACGCGATCTCGCTGTCGTTTCAGCTCTTCTGTCTTCCGGTGGTCCCTATTAATAAATCATCCCCGCGGTGGTGTTCTCGCATCGCTCAACACGGTAATATGTTATTTAAATTCCTCCTCTCGCGCAGTTGTACGAAGGATAATGGGAACTGCGGAGACTCTTGGTTATTCCACGCGCGTATCGCTTACGGTCTAAGATCAAGCGATGCGAAATCATAAATTAATATCACGGAAGCACCTTACGCGGTGCTACACGGCACTACAGCGTAATTCCGTGACTTATACGGGGAGAATGCATGCGGCGGAATCGCGCAACAAACGCGCAAACATGCAAATATGGGTATCACTTTCCTCGGTCTTTATGACTGCGGAGCAGCTTGGTGAGAACGGCGAAATATTAGGAGGCGGCAGTTTTTGCGATCGTAAAACCTGAGATTTCAGAAGCGGTACGCAACGTAACAGTACATAACGTCTCTCCATCACGCGTCCCTGTGACGCTCTCGACTTTGCGGATTTTCACTCCTTCGCCCGTCCGAGTTAAGCTCGATTGGACGTAACGCGTACAATTTAATTTCGTTTGGTTTGTTATCAATTCCATTCTAATTCCGCTTTTAATTCCGATCGATAGCGCTCAAAGACCAAAGTCATTCAATAACGACCGGGGTTATTCAAAATCGCGCGCGAAATTTTAATTGTGTCACATGTTTAAATCACTTGGCTAGACACGTACGTAATGAAATATATATTAACGATTTCTATAAATAATTTCCCAAGAACTTTTATCGAGGTCGTCGGTCAAAAGAGGTCGATCGCCCTTTTCCCGGTCGTCACTTAGCTTCAATAAAACTCGAAGTAAACTTGGACCTACGAGTTCGCTCGCATGGCGCGGCCCTAAACTATAGTTCACCTCGTTTATACGGAAGTCCGGCACCGGTTCGAAGCGATGAAGTTCCCACGCCCCGGCTTGAAATCGAACCCGACCGCTACATCGAAAATAATCTTTGGTTCCATGGAGCGCGCGTGTGAGATCATGATGGCAGGTCGTAATATTCGACGTTTTACACACCAAATTTTCGCGACCGCTAATACGCGCCTGGCCTCGTCAAGCCATCCATTATCGACTTTTCAAATCAAACGATGCAGAGAGAGAGAGAGAGAGAGAGAGAGAGAGAGAGAGAGAGAGAGAGAGAGAGAGAGAGAGAGAGAGAGAGAGAGAGAGAGAGAGAGAGAGAGAGAGAGAGAGAGAGAGAGAGAGAGAGAGAGAGAGAGAGAGAGAGAGAGAGAGAGAGAGAGAGAGAGAGAGAGAGAGACGTTTGCTCGCGTCTTTCTCGATTCCCTTTCGAAATAGCGGATTACGGTATTCAGGAACCCTAAGTACAAATCGATTTCGCAGCATTCCATCTGCGTTAAAAATGTAGCATCGCAAAGGAGTCCCGGAGATAGCAGCCGAACGTCATTGCCTTCTGATAGAATTCTAATGACAACGGGAACTGACAACTTCCTGCTTGATTGAAAAAAACTTAAATCACCATTTGCAATATTGTGCAAACTTCAATTAACATTTAAATATAGGTTATAAAGATATTCTTTTATAAAGCTTAGTTTTTTCATTTCAGGCATAATAAAAGTTCCGCAACGACTGAGATCTTTAGCTACTCGGCGAAATCGAAGCTCGACTGTATTACTTCAACGACTAACTTTATTTCCACACACGTAAGAGTGCGTACGCGCTGTTTCATTACGTCATCGCATTTGAAACTAGATATCGCGTTTAATTTCGCTCGCGAGATATAATAAGATCGAGTTACACCACCCGTGTGATATACTTTTCATCCATGTTGCAATATTTATATATTAATGTTACATTAATACAATATACAGTAAGAATAATTATCATTTATTCTCAGTTTTCTGTTAAGAAGGAGCGTATTTTTTACGTATATTTTCCTTTCAATACTTTCCTCGGTCCTCTCGACCAAAAATATAGCAAAAATCTAGTTAGATGTATAATTAATTCGTAAAAATACGATATGTCATTTGAATATTTTCAAAATTGACAAAAGTCTATACGCACAAAATGTAACGCGTAAAACATGTGGCTACAATCATGTGTAAAATATTTTATCAATGACAGATTTATGCGAAATTCAAAAGCCGCGCTAATAAGCCGCGGCGAACGCTAGCGAACGTCAAAAATGACCACTTTTCCATCTAACATTTACGCCACGCACTATCGTTTGACAGAACTTTTACGAAATGTTATGTTACGGCATGCATAGTCATCATTCGGACGAGGCGTGAGTTCGCTCATCAATCGTTATTAAAGCAATATCCCGCGAGCGTTTACCAGTGCGCGCGGCGAATTTTTGAATAAATACAACAATTTTTCGACGCGCTGTTTATGAATATTTATTAAAATTATTTTCGCGGAAAATAAAAACACCCGTCACAACGAACACTGAAAATTCAACGTTGCGGCGCGCTTAGCACGGCGGGGACACGGCACAGTGGCGTCTGACCTCCGTTTGACTTTTTCTACTGGACGACGGACCGCGATTCCGCACAGTCATTCTCGACGTTCGCATAAACATCGATTGTGTACGTTCTCGCGATGTTTGTTAGACGCTCGTAAACACAGTACATCATTAAATATCAGCTGATGTGTATAGAATATTTGCAATTGCTACAATAACTGCATATTTCCCCGCGCTTTATCTTGTTTTCGAAGTAATTGCCTTGTTTGGAGAGAATATTCCCTACATCGCAGTGTAATTCGCGTTACACGTCAACATTACTTCAGCATCAAAAATCCCAATCGAATGACAATTATTTTATCGTCAAACATTCCAACGTGCATAATTCGTACTTTTGACAGAGCAATACATTCGAGCAGATTCAAACGCGCTCGACAACGCGTAGTTAAAGTGTCAGATGCAGAGACCGCTCATTAATATGCCCCAATTTGGCAATTATTTCTCGAATCTTAAGCGCAAATCGGGAGAACGACATGTCAAGGACAAAGTCATTTCGCGATCGTTCCGCGAGTGCAGCATGATCCGTGAAAATCCGGACGAGCCATTTCGCGTAGAAACTGAGAGATCCGACGAGAGAGATACAGAGGAACATATATTAACATCTATTAATATCATTAGGTCGCGTCATACGCGCTGAACTCGCGCGCGTCGCTATCACGCGAAAAACGCGTGCTCGCGATTTCGAAACGAACACGACGCGCATCGACGTCCCCGCGGTGGAAAATTCGAAAAAATCGCGCGTCTCTCTCTCTCTCTCTCTCTCTCCGGTCATTCGTCCGATTTTCCTCGTGGATGCCGAGCAACGTTGCTGCCTCGTCGTGGTCGCGCACGTCGGTCTTTTTTTTTCGTTTTATTTTAATGCAAACTCACCTGCTACGACGTCGATCGAATCACTCCATAGTGTCACTGTCAACGGCTGACGTCGGCCTCGAGAGCGTTCCCACTGGGAGTCTGGATCGGCTGGAAACGAGACACAAACACCATGTACATGTACGTCCGAATGCGGGAAATTCGCGACGCGACCGACTCGGTGGATGCGAGAGTAACCGGAGTAACCGGACGAGAGTGAGTTGAACAAACGAACGAACACGCACATCCGGCTTCGCGTCCGCGCGTGCACTGACTTGTGCTCTGTCTGTTCAGGCGCGCCAACCTGCAGTCCATCCACCTTGGGCCACTGTAGACTCGTCGCTACGTTGCCATGACAACCGGTCAACAGCACGCGCACTCGGCGCGAGTGAGACGACGTCGTGCGTTGTAGAGGGAGAAAAAGAGAGAGAGAGAGGGGGGGGTTAGGGAGGGGGTAGGGGAAGAGAGAGAGAGGAGGAGGGAAAACGAGAGACAGGTGGGGGTGAGAACATGGGGAAAATCCTCATGTGTCACATTTTGCAAAACGAAAAAAAATCCCTTTGATCAAGTGAAAAAATATATAATGCAATACGCCGCGGTACAATTTGTTGCTGGCATCAAGAAAACGAGAAAAAAACAGGAAGGACAAAGGACAAATTGAAACGCAACGACGTGTACAACATTTTTGACAACGTGCAGCAAAATGTGCTACCGACCGATAATATAAAATATTAAAGCGCAGACATTAAAAAAACGAGTTCGACGTGAATGTGTTGCTTTTGCGAATGTATAACGCAACATATAATTAGCTGAAAATACTTGAAGAGAAATAAAACGAGATCAATAGAAATCGCGTTGCATTATTGCAAGAGGGAGCGATTGATTGCTCATATCAAGCTAGGTTCGACTAATTAAATTAACTGTCATGTATGTGAGATTCCTAACAAGGAAAAAAAGCGATAAATCCGCGCGCGCACACTGTAACTCTATATTTCCCGTTTAACGAAATGATTCATTCCGATAAATTGTGATCGTCAATATTTAACAGTTTGTACGCAGTCGTAAATTTCACGTGTCCGTTTTGTTCTTACACATCGCGGCAGCGGACAATTATTTTATTAGCCTCATCGTCGAGATTAGGAATATAATATTAGGTGTATAAATGAATAATCAAATTTTTTCAGCTACATTCAAGGTTTATTTTAAAAGAAAATAAATTAAATTATTCAAAGTATTCGCCGTTGCTTTCTATAACTTTAAGCCACCTTTCAGGCAGCTGATGAATTCCATCTCGGAAAAATGTTACGTATGTTTGGACACGATAAACTCGTCAAGCCATTTTCGGATCTCATTCACTGATTAGAAGTGCATATCGGACAAGGCGTGTTGCATCGACCGGAACAGTCGGAAAGTGATAATCGGATGGAGCAATGTCTGGTGAATACGCCGGCCGTGCTGCAAGACGTCCCAGCCAAGACTCATTATGGTGTCTTTTGTATTGGAAGCAATGTGTGGCCTGGCGTTGTCATGCAACAATTTCACTGGACGTTCTCCTTTGCCAGTATACGGGCGTTTTCCAATTCTCCAATTCTTGACTCAAGCAGATTAATTGACGTTGGTAGCAGTCCGCAGTAACTGCCAGGTTTCACCCGGTTCCAACAACTCATAATAAAGCACGCCCTTGATATCCCACCAAATGCAGAGAAGAACCTTCTTTCCGAAGCGATTGGGTTTTGCGACCGATTTTGATGATTCGCCGGGATTTACCCATGACTTTCTGCGTTTCGAATTGTCATAGAGTATCCATTTCTCATCGCCCGTAACGATTTTCCACAAGAAAGACTTTCGACGCTGCTTATTAAGAAGAGAAAGACACGCTGCTACTCGTTGATTTTTGTTGGTTTCAGTGAGTTCATGCGGAACGCATTTTCCTTCTTTCTGGATCTTTCCCATCTCATGTAGGCGTTTGGAAATCGTTTGCTGCGTTACTCCCAACTGTTCTGCAAGCTCTTTTTGTGTTTGTGCCGAATACTCAGCGAATGGTTGTTCCAAATCATCATTATCGCACTTCGGAGGGCCTCCAGGGCGTTGTTTGTCGATTAGACTGAAATTACCGCTTTTACCAAAACTGCTTAAATCAAAATGCGCACACATCGTACGATACAACACCTTCGCCGAGAAAGGAACAAATCGATTCGCACGCTCTTGCAGCATTTTTTCCTTGTTGGAATTTGTAAAGAATACAATGTCGGATATGCACCTTATCTGTTGCCATTTTCGACTGTACTGAACTGAATACTTTTGAAGGTTATGTTGGGCCTTTCGCCAAACTATATGTTCTTTTTAATAGCTATATGTCAACATTGCATAATCACAAAAGAGCGGGAAAATGTATTCAATTTAAAATTGATTTCATAACTGCTTAAAATAATTTGGATTATTCATTTGTACACCTAATATATTCTTTTGTTCTCCAGACCGTGACTTACAGTCACGGTCGCACTTCCTTCTTCTTAAGTCGCCCGTGCTTAAATCGACGTGCAAGTAGAAAAATCGATGATAGGGTTTAATAACTTCCTCGGAGCGTGCGCCGAAAAAAGATTCGGAGCGTGGATATTCCGGCGCCGTATCCCGCAAGTTAATAACGACCGCGCTGAAAAGGACCGCCGAACCTGCTGAGACCATCAAATAAGCTGATGCTGCAAGAACGTACTCGTGAATACGTAAGCTTTTCATGAACGCGACAGACTTTCTGCGATCAAGGCGGAGGGGCGTTCCGTCTTCTCCCATATGGACTCCAAACGGATTATTCGAGGAAAAATTGATTGCATATTTTAGACACACAGTGCTCGCACCCAACACGAATCTTGTTCCGTCAGAAAGTAAAATAAAGTTAGAAAGTAAAATTTCTATTTTCGTATATCGTATTCGATTTCGTAGATCTCGAAGGATTCGAGAATGAAGACGGAAACAAGCGTAGAGAGAGAGAGAGAGAGAGAGAGAGAGAGAGAGAGAGAGAAAGAGATAGACGAAAACTCGAAACAACAGTCGAAATAACGCGCACAAATGTACACGAACGTGTAGGTTTTTCATCGCTTGTCTCGCAATTCTTGCCTCGCGACATACATTGAACTCGACTCTCGCAATCGGGACCTTGTTTCCTCTCCTAATTCCTTAATTAACAATCCGCATTCCACGAGAGATCTTTCCGGTCTGGCGGAAACGCGCGCGACCGAGACAGCGAATGAGAAAAGTCACCGAAGCAAGAAAGTAAGAGAAAGAAATGAGGAACGAGACGAGAAATTCCGAGCTGGATTATGTGCATCGTAGAAATTAATAAGAGGCACGGTGTAAACGTGCGCAGCTGTAATGTTCTCTCCCTCCAGCACGTACGAAGAAGGGATCGTTAATGTTGGATTACTTTTTTTTCTTTCCTACTTCTTCCTCCTCTTTCTTTCTCTCTCTCTCTCTCTCTCTCTCTCTCTCTCTCTCTCTCTCTCTCTTTTTTTTCTTTCTTTTAATGCCGCTCCTGGACGTCGATGCGATGCGACTATACGCAAATACGTGACTTCCAACTCGAGCATCTCATAAATACGAGCGAATTCCCTGAAGTGGAGAGGAGCGCGGCTCATTCGACGGCGAAAGCGCGGACGAAATGTCTGCGGCGAAGTTTCGAAAAAGGAAAAGGGCGAGCGCGCACACGGACGCACACAGGCCGGCCGGAATTGCGGAAATTAATTTACTCGCGGTCGTAAGTGAGCCACTTGTTCCATGCGTACCCCGCGCGTACGCCGATAGTAAGCTGAGATTTGTTTTAACCCGCGCCATTGTGCCGGGAATATGTAAAACGGCTGCGCGAAACGAAACCCGCACGCCCGCAGGCTTAATTACGCCCTTCTCGATAATTCATAAGCCACCGCTAAATACCGCATCTCTCTCTCTCTCTCTCTCTCTCTCTCTCTCTCTCTCTCTCTCTCTCTCTCCGCACGCGGATTTCGACTTCTTCGTTCCGCTTGATCGATTGATCAAGCAAAATCTGCCACTATCGCGCGCGCGCGGGCGCGGTTCAAGCACCACGAATTATTATTATTCGTGCAATAAATTAAATCCAATTTAATTCGTACAATAATTTAATTTCAATTTAACCAATCTCGTAAAATAATTTATGCCAATTTAATTCCCTATCTCTCCCTTCCCTCTCCTATTATCAAAGCGCGTCGCAACAATTTCATAATAAAGTAGCTAATTATTGTCGCGTGCCCCGGTGCAATTAATATCTTAATCTCCCGCCGACCGACACTCGAGGTTCTCGATTAGAAAAGCACGCGAGTGCTCTTGTCGCAGTTTTCCATCTGAAACAAGGCGTGTAAAATCGTCGGTGCTTCTTTTTGCCGCGATGTTAATTCTCTACTTCTTGGTTGCACGAGTTATCATCGCGTGGGTTGCGCATTCCGACAGTTTCAACGTTAAGAGGGAATAAAATACTACAAAGTAATGTACGATATTAATATCGCGATGTGAGTATCATTAAATGGATGAATAGATAACATATCGATCCTCATCTCTCTCTCTCTCTCTCTCTTTCGCCTCGCTCGCGCCGGCTAGATGGGAATGCATGAGTTCAAAGTATTTACATGTTAGATAGACGAGTATCAGGTGAGACGTCTCGCGTTATTGTTATCGGGTATTTCCAATTTCGGACACAGCGACTTGCGGCTCGCGGGCGTATATGCGTAAAGCTTTAAAATTGATCGCGTACTTTTCGCTAAATCGCTCAGCGCCGTTAAGATCATCGCGGTAGCGAGTGCAGTGCGGTGAAGTGAAGTGGAGTGAAGTGAAGTGAAGTGAAGTGAAGTGCATGAAGAGCGATTGAGATGCGGACAGCTGGATGCTGAGGAGGCTGAACGGATGCGTCAGGATGCGACGCTGTGTCACCGGTGAACCTGGACAACTGGACGTCGACGTGAACCGGAGAGTGTATAATTTAAACGCTCATAGAGCGCCGTATTACATAGTGCACGCTTAGACGTAAAGCGCATGGACTTTCAAGGAGAAAAAGTCAGCACGCGCGGCGATCGTGCGTCTCGGCAGTTCCACTTTACTCGGGAGAGATTGAAGAAATGAATTACGGTAACGGGCGTTGAACTCGTATTCAATGTGACAAAAATTACGCGAATTATGCAAGCATCTGCGATATAATTAGCGGCCGTTAATTGAAGATTATGAAATTAGAATCGCGCGCGTAATTCAACGTAATTCCCGAGTCGGTTTATCATGC